ATTATTTGTACTCCTTTTCGTGGATCAACTTTTCTTTCTGCCCATAGAGGACACCAAACACTCGCATTTCGACGATGTAACGGATATGTATAATGATCACCCTAAATGATAAAAATTCATTTGTTAACATTGTTAACCCAAAAAGAACCTCATTGCCCCAAATCAAGCTCCTACAACAAAATCTATTACAAAACGCACTGGCAAATCCAGATGGTATTAATCCAGTATTCTTCTGCGTTTCTGAAGATGATCGTTATGCACTAGAGGCGACGTTGTGTGAAATCGATCCATAGTTGTTCGAATTACCATTTCTGCTGGGCATTTATATAGCCTGAATATTCGATGCAGCGTACAATTCATTGTGTGATGCGAGCCGATGCATTGTTGCAGAGTAAGACTTTTTACTTCGAAATGGTAAATCAAGGAACAAATCTGCAAAGTATTAAAAATCATATGCCTAGAAAACCACTTTTTATTTCTAAAAGAAAACTAAGGGTTCCAGGCAACCTCGTATGCATTGCAATAGCAAAACTTTTCTTTCCTCGCGCTATGGCAATTATGAAATTTTCCTCATTTTGCTAAACATCCCATTATTGAATACCAAATATTTTATAACATTTTCGAATAAAAAAAATTTTCCATGTAGTTTTTGGTTTTTCGTTTTTCATTTTTCATTTTGCTTTTGGATTTTTTGTTCTAATAAAAAAACATTAAAATCGCAATGAAATTCAAAATTCTTGTAGGGGAAACACAGAAAAATTACTGCTTTGGCTAACACATTTACTTACACATGTGTACTTCTGAAGTTAGCTGTATGTGTTGATGCACAATAACAAACAATAAATACTTTTTGCACATAAAAGCAGTGGATTCCACTCTGAAGATTGTAAATGGCATAACTCTAGAATATTAAAATTTTTATTTAGATTTCCTAAGTACGCCAAATACTTTAAAAAGAAACAAATTGAAATCTCAGCAAATTTAAATAAAATATACATTTAGTGAAATATTAAACACAGCGAAATCCACTGGATAATACTTTTTATAATCAAATCCAAATTCAAAAAAAATCGATTTGATGGTTCTATGTGTAAGTTAATACGTAGTATGCCTGTATGTTTATTCATGTATTTATTTATAAACCTGAAATACATGTCATTTAAATATATTTATTTTCCAAACATTCCCCAGCCCCAAATCCTCACTGAAACGCGCTCATTAAATCATATTAATTTCAAATTTCGACACATAATCGGTGGCCATAATTTTAATTTCGTTGCACCACAATTTTGTTGACTGCAAATAAATAAATGCAAGCGCATATTAATACATAAATATATAATATATGTAAATATATATATGTATATCTATATATATATGTCGATGGAGCTAACGTATTCATTCCGGCTGCGGCAGCGGCTGCGTTGCCATGGCGTATGAGTTATTTATTTAAATGATGATTAATAAATGTGCGAAATCGTATGCGGCAAAAGCAAATTTCAAACCGTTTTTTTTTGTAAAACAGGGCAAACCAATTTGTGGTCTCGAGTTTGAACGAATATAAACTGCTTTATAGACAGTTTTTTTTCTTCCCTTTTTATTAAAAAGTTTGAACTTTGGCATTTTATGGCAGCCACTACGGCTTTCAAATAACTACTCTTTAACGAAATTTCTCTAGCGATAAACCATATTCACTCCAGTTGTGTGGCACTAGCCCGTGCTCTACGATTGCAGGCAAAATTAGTTATTTTACGAGCAGTGTAACCGATTTCAGGGGGGGAAAGGTCCAATGACAACTCCGGTCCAAAGAGGATTCACGGAGCCTCAAATGCGTCAATTTTTTCTTGTTTACGAATTCTTCGAATGAGAAATGTGTTCGCCGCTGCAAAAAATTTTGTTCGAAAAATGGACGTCCCATTTGAGTGGGTTCTGAATGGTCAGCTGGCCTATCTACATGGATGTAGGTGTAAGTCTAATTACAAATTACACCATGATATGACGTAAGAACGTCATAGCAGTTGACAACGTCGAAAAATAGACATCTTCAGGGATTCGGCTTTACTTTAACTTACATAGCATATTTGACGTGGAACGTGCAAAGGATCATTCAAAGGCCTTACAATATCTACAAATGATATATATATATGCTTTTTCCAATTGCTTGTGGAATTGGATGAGTTTGTGCCCCAAGACAATAGCCCGGTGTGATGGGTTCAAAAGTTCATTTTTTTTAATTTTTTAATAGAAAAATCTTTCAAAAATATGCTGTAAAATTCCCAGATCGAGATTTTTCAATATTTTGAAGTTATAGCCACCAATAGAGAACGCAAATAAACATCGAAATTTCAGCCGTCACAACGAGCAACTACCTTAAAGCACGAAACATGGCCACGTTTGAATCACAACCTTTAAAAAAAAAATATATATGTTTGGCTTGACAGTTAAGATTTTTCGATGCTAAAATTCAGCCCAGTACTTTTGAAACCACGAAATGGATAACTCCATAAAATACCGTTATTATATATTTTTTTTGTACATCTGAATTCGTATTTAAAATTACCAAATAAATATAATCACATATTAACGCATATACATATGTATATATGTATGTAGCAGTTATAGTATGTAGGTTAACTAGGATTAAGCTGTACTGGCATATAATTTAGGTCATCGGGTTATTTTTATTAAATCTCCATTTCTAGTTTTAGTTAAGCTACTTCCAGAAAGATGCATTTACTAGTTGCTATAATAGGCGTTCTTTCACGAAGACTAGTTCTTACCAAAGCTACAGATTTTCTAAAACTATACACTACCAAGGGCTTACCAATTCGGAAAAATTAGTTTCATTGTTCGATTTACTTGAACTTCGATACTTAGGTCGCTTTTGCTTTTGCAAGACTACTCCTCTCTCCGGAAAGTAGAACAGGGACTGGTCGATTCAACAAAAGTCAGCCACTCGTTTCTTCTTTTTTATAATATTTTCGAGCATTACTCTTGCCGGTAATTCTGAGACATTATAGCTTTTCTTTTTTTGTCTGCATTTCATTTTCTCTTCCTCCATGCAGAGCAAAAAGTTCCGAGGGATACGGGCTTTTTCTTTTTATTTCATTTTGCATTCTTCATGATACTCCTTTTCCTGACATCGACGGAAGCTAAATTTTCCGCAGCGGCGATACGTAAGGATGCTGAAATTTCCTTGCACTGTTCTCAGAGAACAGATGTGCAAGTCGAGTGGAAATCGGCTGGCTCTCTGCACCTCCGGACAACTGCTGGTTTTTTGATTTTCTTGTCAAAAATAGACCCGTAGAGGTTAACACTCCCTGCCGAGAAGCGACTGTAATTAGAAACATTAAAATATTTTTTTTTTTTAAATTAATTTTCTATACTTTTTGGATGTTGATCGAACCCGATATCGAGCATCTACTTTCAAATGCCATTACCAATGCTTACCACTCTGTGGCTCCGGCCGACAACTTGTAGCTTGCTGAATTTTTTCTTGGCCCGTAGTAGTACCCGTACTGACAACCATATTTCGAGCCTTAATGAAGACGGAGAACCTTCCTTTAGGGAAGTTTTGAGTGTTGTGCTGAACATTTTTTTTTTGTCCACTCTGATAAAGGAAGGAATCTAATAAGGAATATAAGTTCAAATCGGCAATTGCTCATTAAAAAGATTTATATCGCAATGCCCTTCTTATTCGTGGTAGCAAGTCCTAAATAAGCGAAATATTTAAAAAAAAAAAAAATCGCTGTGACGCTGCGAGACGCTTAAGGGGCACACCTAGTGCGAAATTTCAAGAAAAAATCGATCTATTTTCATATTTCGGTAAATTTCACCTTTAAAAATATCATATTAAAATTTCAAATCGATATCTCAAATAGTTTTTGAGTTATTGCAATTTGAAGAGCAGCCGCTCGGCAGCTAGAGAGTCTCATTAGCTACGAGTGAAAACGATCATTTTGTCTTTAAACGCGTTTTTCTCGAAACAGCATTTTCTGAATTTGCTGCAGTGATTACTCAAAAACAAATGATCCGATCACTAGCGAATTTTTTCTATATATAGTTCTCCGTACAATGACCTATCGATTTTTGATCTGATCAAAAAATCGAATTTTGGCAGGCCAAAAACGACCAAAATTTTCGGTAAAATTCGACTATTTTTTTTTAAACGCTGCCATATTGTCAAAATTTGATTTTTTTTTATTGTACAGACAATATTATCTAGTTTAACGAGATTTTTTTTTTTAGATTTCATCCACGGAGAAGGCCAAAATCACTGCAGCAGTGAAGAACCTTTTTTTTCGCTCCGTTGGAGATCGACTACAACTTAAAAAATATTTAAGGTTTTTCTTCAAAAATTTCACTGTATATTCTTGAAACATATATAAATATATTCTTAAAATTTTGAAATAATTGATAAAGTATTTTTTTTAATAAAAATTCCCAAAAATCACCTTTTTTTAGACTATTACACTCGGTGTGCCCCTTAACCACCGACTGATACTTTTGATGTGGTCGCTGTAGTAGATTTCACCAGGGCATACCTTATTCCCTTGCTTCGTCCATCGCACTTCTTTAGTAGTGTCAACCTAAAATTTTTCAAACTGTGACCCTCACCACGTTTGCAGGAGTCGACAGCAAAATGTGTTCTGCCATTTGAGGCTTGTTCATATATTCTTTAGAAGAAGATTTAGTATGTAGCGGGTCAGAAGTTCTGCGCAGAAACAAATCGTGTTTGCTTTTTCATTATTGCTTGCACCGAATATTTGTTGGAGACCCAGAAGATGCTTGGTCGTAAATTGTTTGAATCATTTGTCAAAGAATCGTTCCTGCAAAAAATAAAATTTTTAATTATTTTAAAAAATTTTAGAATTGTGTATATTATTTTTTTTTTAGAAAACTTTTTTCTAAATCTTCAAATTTCGACTTGTAATTGTTTTAATTTTATTTAATGATAAATTAATGTTTTTTAATTTTTGTCATTTTTCGCCCAACCATAGAAACTGGAACCGCATCCGAATGTCACCTATGCCTTCTGCACCTTCTACGAGGACAATTTCATCGTCAACCAAACAAGTTACCAAATTATATTCTTCGCCTGCACCTATCTGCTGCCGCTAATGGCAATCAGTGGCCTTTATGTGCGCATGATTATGCGGCTGTGGCATCAGGGTAGCGGTGTACAAATGTCTGTTAAATCCCAACGTGGCCGCAAGCGTGTCACACGTCTAGTTGTGGTTGTTGTTGTGGCATTTGCATCGCTATGGCTGCCCGTGCAGGTGAGTAAATACAGGGGGGCTATGTTTGGGGAATATAAAATATACATTTATATAGGAGTATAAAAATATAAGTACATGAATGGTGGCATGGTTTTTGTTGCAAGTGCCATTGTTTGGGGTATTTCAAGCTTCACAGAATTTTATTTTAATTTCATTTGGAATGGCACACCATGATTTTCAGCGAAATTGTCGGCAAAGAGTGATGCAAATATCATAGAAATTTTATCTCATTTTATTTTTAATTTAGTTTAGTTTTTATACGTTTTTGTCTAAAAAAAAATAATTTTGGTGAAAAATATTAAAAGTGTTCACAGTGATTTTAATGCTACTAAAAATAAGAATACTTAGAAAAGGGCAAAAAAATATTTAATTTAAGGAAAAATATATAAATAAATTTAAAAAATAAAATCGAGAAATCCATATATTTTAAGAAATTAAAAATCAATTCCTCCCAAATTCAATAAAACCAAAAAATATGTAAAGTTTTTGAAAAAGTCATAAAAAATAAAACGAAAATTTAAACTTACAGAAATACATATATCTTTTAGGAAACTCATAATTAAGCCGAATTTAAAAAAAAATATATATTTTTAAACTTTCAAGAAATAATAAAATTATTTACATAAAAAAATTTCTTAAGAAATTAAGATTTAAATTATCGCCGATTTTTCGCTGCAAGTACAGCCAGATCCTTCTCTACTAGGTCTTTCCAACAGAGTAGAGGCCTTGCTCTTCCTCTGCTTCGACCGGCGGGTAATGCATCGAAATTTTTGAAAGCTGGAGTATTCTTTTCCATCCGGACGATACGACCCATCCTGCGGAGCCGCTGTTTCTTGACCCGCTGAACTATGTCATTGTCGCCGTATATCTCACACAGCTCACTATTCCATTTGCTACGTTATTTGTCGTTCCCCATTCGTAGAAGACCGTAAACCTTACGCGAAACCTTCCTCTCGAAACTCATCATATGTAGTCATCGCCTATGTCTGCACCTTATAGCAGGCCGGGAACGATGAGCGACTTGTAGAGGGCATTACTTTTCAATTGCCTTCTCGGTCCGAAAAAGCACCAGTTGGCAGAGGTAGTTCTGCGTAAGATTTCAATGCTGACATTGTTATTGTTGTTAATAATGGTTTTGAAAAAGACGAAGTTATCTACGACCTCGAAGTTATGACTATCAACAGTGACGTAGCTGCCGAGTGCCGAATGCGGTGACTGTTTGTTTGATGTCTGTAGATATTTCGTCTTCCTCCGTTTACTGCCCGATCCATTCGCTTGGCTTCTTTATCAAGCCTGGAGAAAGCAGAACTCACGACGCGGTTGTTTAGGGAAATAATATCAATATCAGCCGCGTACGCCAGCAGCTGTACACTTTGCCTTCTCTATTCAGTTCTGCAGTTCATCATATTTTCTCCTGCTTGAGGTAAAAAAAGTCACACGGTAAAGGGTCACCTTGTCTGGAACTTCGTTTGATATCAAACGGCTCGGAGAGGTCCTTCCCACTCCTGATGGAGCTTATAGTGTTGCTAAAGGTCAGCTTACTCCGCCGTATAAGTTTTGTGGGGATACCAAATACTGGCGTCATAAAGGCAGCTCCTTTTCGTGCTGTCGAAAGCTGCTTTAAAATCGACGAAAAGGTGATGTATCGATTCGATTTGGCGCATGATAAATATCTGGTCAATGGTTGACTTACCAAATCTGCAGCCACACTGATAAGGTCCAATCGGTTTGTTGACGGTTGGCTTTAGTATATCACACAATACGTTTGATAGGACCTTACATGCGATACTAAGGAGGCTTATCCCACGATAATCAGACTGGATGGATTCCAATAATCGGGGATGCTTTCGTCCGACCATATTCTGCAAAGTAGCTGATGCATGCACCTTGTCAGCTCTTCGCCGCAATGTTTCAACAGCTCTGATGGTAGGCCGTCAGCTTCAGCCGCTTTATTGTTTTTTAAGCGGGCGATTACTATTCGAACTTCTTCCTGATCAGGTCATCGAACGTCTTTTCCAACGTCATCGATGGGGGTTTCGGGTTCACCATTTCCGGATTCTCCATTTTTACTACTATTCAGCAGGTTGGAAAAGTGTTCCCTCCATGAATTCAATAAGATCTGGGCATCAGTTGAGAGACCATACTGGGTCCTACAAGAGTATGCTCCGATCTCGAGACCTTTTGTAAGCCGTCGTATCTTTTCAGAGAAATTTCAAGCATCTCGCCCTCTTTCTTTTTATGCCTGCAAAAGCGTCTTACTTTCCTCTTCAATGCCGACCTTACCAAAAGTTTTGGTTGAAGCCGTCCCACAGTTCCCGTATGCCGAGTTGCTGATGAGGTTGCGGTTTTCTGACGTTGAGATTTCTAATAAGTGTTGAAGGGCGTTCTTTGAATAGTGGTCCGAGTCGGTGATGAATTCTGGAGAATTCTGGAGGCATGTGTTCCGTCTATCACAACGTGACCGATCTGGTTTTATATTTTTCGATCAGGGGACAGCATCATGATGGAATTAGTACTACTGACAATCTTATTTCTGGGCCCGGCGAAGTCGATCAGCCTGTGGTGACTTCTTCTTTGCCCATTCTGGCACTTAAATCCCCAAACACGATTTTCACATCGAGGGGGAAAGCGCTCATAAGTGTGATCTAGGCGCTCAAGAAAGGCATCTTTGACCAAATCGTCCTTTACTTCCGTCGGATCGTGGGCGCAAATCAACGATATGTTAAAAAATTATGCTTTGATGCGGGTAGTGGTGAAGTTCGCTAAGTAAATATACAAAAAATGTAAATAAATTTTAATAAGAAAATATAAGTAGAAAATAAAATTAAAGAAAAAAAATTTAAATAAAATAAATGCGTGAGATATTAGAATTTAAGTCCATTCAAGTTATCTCAAAAGAGTAAAAAGAAGAAATGAAATTCAAAAAAATATATTATATATTATTTTTTAGAAAGGATGAAGTTGGGAGGGCTTTAACAGTATAATAAAAAAATGCTGAAAAGTTTTAAGGAAAAACTCATAAAAATAATAACAAATTAAAATTTAAATTAATTAAGACTTAGGCCCACACCCGTTCTTCCCTCCACCGTTACAACTTTTTATTTATATTTGATATACCAGAGGGGATATATTTACAAATATAATATAATACAAGATATATCTTCAACCATCGCTACCTACTTGCTTACCATCCAACCAACCCAATTCATTAAATTGTTTTATTTCATTATAGTTATTCTACCGTTAATCCACTTTTAAATGCGCTCGCCTATTGACACAACACTTCAATTTAAATCTTTTATATTTATTTCCACACTCTTTTCACTCCACCACTACTGCCGCTACTGGTCGCACATTATCATTAAACTCTTTTTCCCCATTCTTTTGTATCTTTAATCAGCTGATTCTACTGCTGAAAGCCCTCGAGATTTATCATTCGAATACGAAAATCAAACTGCTACTGCAAGTCATCGCCCAAACGTTGGCCTACATGAGTTCGTGCATTAATCCGATTTTGTATGCCTTCCTCTCGGATAATTTTCGCAAGGCTTTTTATAAGGTGAGTAAATAGTGGCACAAGTAGTGACAAAAGTGGGAATAGATATAAAACCATGCATTTAAATATTCTTTTAACGCTGCTATTAATTTATGCAACAATAAATAGTCCTGCATTTATGTGTGCGAGTATGTATGTATGTATGTATGTATGAGTGGAGTAGTAAATATTGTCATTTGCATTGAAATTCAACTTGTTCATTCTATATTTAAGTCAATAAATATGAGTAAACAAATATATTATTATAATGAATTTATTTTCACCATTACTCATATTATCTGTTTTATTATCGCTTATGCTTTTCTGAGTGTTTTTATAAATACATATATATATATACCTGCTTAAAATGCTTACGGTTGGCTCTTATTCACTGGGTCAACCAGCACATTTACGCCCAGCTTTTGTTGAATTGATTGCATCTATTCATTTTATTTTATGCTTCTCTGGCTTTGGTTAAATAAAATGGAGTGCTTTTCATATTTATTAATATAAAATATATTGGTGTTATATATATCAGAATTTTAATAAACTATTTATTTTTGTACATACAATACATACATAGTAAAAAACTTTTTGTAGTATATTATTTAAATTTATTTTATTTTAATTTGTTTAATTACATAATATTTAAATTTATATATTTTTATTTTATATATAGATTTAATTAGTTTTTAATTTATTTTATTTAATTGTATTTTATTTTATTTTATTGTATTTTATTTTATTTTATTTTATTTTATTTTATTTTATTTTATTTTATTTTATTTTATTTTTTTTTATTTTATTTGAAAAATTAATATAAAAGACAAGTTCAACCAAAGAAAAAAGTTGCAAGGTCACCAACACAGTTGTTTGGAATTTTTCTAAAAGAATTTCCGTTGGTTTATAGGAAAAATTCCATTATTGCCAATGCACGAGAAAAATATGTTGCCATGTGGAAAAAATTAAACGAACATTGAACTTGCATTAGACCGAAATACAATACATATGTAAATACGCAGATATGTGTATATATTTACGAAATCATTAAACAATTTAGAATATTTATGCGCGTGGGTATGTATATAAGTACAAATACTCCGAGGCAAATGCGCACTTGTATATTTTCATAAATGCCGTCAATTGTTGATTTCCACTCCATAACATATATACGTATGTGTATGTATATGTTATACGAGTATATACGCCTATTCTCATTATTTTCACACAACAGCTATCAAGAACTGGCAAAATTTTTCTGATTGACGTATTGCATTTACGAACTGTTTAAAGGTTTTTAATTGATTTCTATTTCACATTAAATTAAAAAATTTACGAAAAAAAATTTAATTACAAATTTAAATGAAAATGTTTATGCTTCATCGCCGCCAATGCCACCCATGTGTTGAATTGCGGAATGGAAAGAGAAATCAAATTTTGATGTAATTATAATTAATTAAGTAAACGAAGCTGAATTAACGAGAACGTATTTAATTCTGGCATGAAATTCTTGAAATATTTTTTGTTTAAATCTGATATACTAATATTTAACTACTACAAAATTTTTTAATTTAATTTTTTTATTTTAATAAATGTCTTGAAATTTTTTGCATATACCCAAAATATTTTCTAACGGTCGCACTTTGAAAAAACTCCCCGTCTCGCCTAACCGACACGAGGGGCGACATCCGCATAACGCACGGAATATGCCGAGTCATGATTGGAAAGCGTTTGTTAAGCGTCGAGATTTAGAGATGTGTTTAACATGACTTTAATAGTAGGGGACTAAACCTCCTAGATACACTAGCTGGAACATAAAAGTTTACCTCAAATAAGTGCCATGAGCCACAAATTGATCCGTCAAGAATTTTCACTACCACTTGCGAGAGTAGGTAGGTTTAGAGACTTTAAACGGTTGGTACAGAGAGGAAGATTTATCATAGAGTTCCATCGGAAATGTCAAGTAATTCAGTGTATTAAGAAACAGCATCTTTAATGCCTTTATGTCGTATCGTCTGCATAGATGAAAAAACTCCAGCCATGAAAGTTCGCGATGCAGTGCTCGATGGTGAATGTTCTGAGAGAGAGGAACCTGGCTTTACTTGTTGTCTCAAATTTGCGAAGAAACAACTGGAATACCTTTGTTTGCTTGGTTCTAATCGTGTTAACCGTGCCTATGCAAAACAAGAAAAAGGTCAAAGTCATTTAAATTTCGCCCAAAAAAGAACATGCTTGTGCCCTCGGAACAAAGAGGGATGTCAGCATTGTTGTCTTAATTTTTAATCAGCCAAAATATGCCTTTCTTGCGTTTTTTTTCGCGGGTGCCACAGCAGCTTCTTTGTCACTTTCGATAGAAAGGTTTCGCGAACAGTTTGTGGCTCGCAGATGTATTTCTGCGAATACTACAACATCTGGGCGGACCAGGTCATGTTCTAAAAAAAACTCAAGCTACGAAAATTTTGCTGCACTGCTGATCATGCATAAATCAACTTTGTTGGAATCTAAAGTTACTGTTAAGGAAGCGTGACCAGACTTGACCCACATTCACATACATACGTATATCTACCGCATGGAAATGAAGACCTTTATAAGTTGCTGTGCTTAAGTTGAGGTTTGAAGAACATTTCAACTTTGCTTGCGGTTGATAAGTTCCATTCGTATAAAAGAAATCTATCACTTGCGATATTGTCAAAAATACGTTTCGAATATATTATATGTATATGGGCAGAATGCAAGCGAGCTTTCCGAACAAACCCCACGTGTGATAGTTTAGTTATTGTTTTTAAAAAATTAATTATAGCAAACTATTCCTAGACTAGTAAGCAAAAATTCTAGTTAAATATTATACTAGTTTATTGTGTACCAGAATTATACTAGTATTTAAAGGGCAATAATATACTAGTTTGCCACAGACTGAAATTATACTAGTATTTTTCGGTAAAATCTTTACTAGTTTGCCAGACGTTCAAGTACATGGAATTGTATTTTGTGGACAAATTCGTAGAAGAGCCGACAACACATTTTTATACTAACCGCTAAAACAACAACAACCACATATTATATTTATGTGGTTTTTCATATTTTGTTCAATTTTAAAAAGAATTAAGAATAGTCCTTATTAAGCTGCAAATACACCGATCTCTTTTATTTTTACTAGTACGATGCAGGCTAGTCGGATGCAAACTAGTTCCCAACTGGTATGAACGAACTAGTATTTTAACTGACATATGTGAACTGGTATTTAACTAGCATGAAGCTGATGTATATACTGACAACTAGGACGTAGGACCTCGCCATGTTAAAAATAACAGTTAAATGGAAAATATATGGAAAATGAACCAGTTTGTGTAAAAATGTAAACTAGTTGGATTCTAGTTAACACCTAGTAGTTTACCCTGCAGGGTTATCATAAAGATTAACTACACTATTGCTTGGTGGCGAGGAGCTTCCTTCCTAAATCCCAATTTAGTTTGAGATTGATTCAGGGTGGAGAAGTCCGTGCCAACTCTAAAGTCGGGCTGAAAATAGTTTTGTTTACCTACAGTTTTTCTGCCGCGGATTCAGATAATTTTACTGGTCGTCGACTAAGCAGCCACAAATCCGGGAAAGTGGAGTTAAAAGGCGCTGGATGCGCTAACTATCTGCACAAATTACTGACATTGAGCCGAAGAACAAGGAATAGTTCCCGTAACACTGTGCAGATCAATATTCTGATTCATATTTTAGCATATTTCCATTTAATCGGCCTAATCCCCACTTGAAAACGTGAGTTCAGATTATAAATCTGAGCTGTTTATTTGAAGAAACAGTTACATGGAAATTACGTTAACGCTGACACTCGGTGTGGGCTAAGTATAGAGATTTGGGCGTGCAATGGTAAAGTCTGACGCAAACTCATGCATAAAGACACGTCGTACGTGATCGTGGTTCAATAGACGGCTACGGAAATAAGATCATGAGTAGTTAAAAGGTGGCGCTACTTACTTAAGAGTACTCAGGTTCACTTGGAGAATTGATTCAGCTATTATGAATCGACTCTCCCTAATGCCAATATTAATACTTTTTTATTCCCTCGAAATGTTTAATTTTTATGCATGAGCATTTGTAAATCCCTCATTCAGCCTCATTTTAATCAGACCCAATTTCAAAGCAGCAAAATGGCCCAACACTTGCAGCAACATTGTAAGATGTGTTAAATAAAACAAAACAAAAACAAAGCAAACACAAAGAAAAACAAAAGGGAAAAACATTCGGAAAGAAAACTTAAATTAGCACCAAAATCTCTGGTATTAATTTTTGCCATATTTTATGTAATCATCTCAACGAACCCATCCACCAACCAACGAATACCCAACCTTGACCCATACAAAAACTGCGGGAGCGCAATGAATCTATTGCGCGCGCCTAAATAGAAGAAGGTGTCATTAAGAAAAATTAAAAAAAAATAAATAAATAAATAAAAATAAAATAAAAGAATTAAGAATATAAAAGAAATTAAAAGAGAAATCACATTAAATTGGGTATTACTTGCGAAGCATCGTGACGAGTCGTGCCGCGCCTTGCGGCTTGTGGTTTCGTAACTTGCGTTGCTGCTTTTTTTTACATTTTCTTGTTCTTTCGTTGTTGTTCCCTTCTCTGGTTCACAACAAATAAAATGCAAATTCTTTGGCGACTTCACCAGCAAACAAACGCCTCCAAGGAGCGCTGGCACAATCGCTGGGGCAACTTCGGCTTGAACTTGCGGCCAACATGACCTTCTAGTTTTCATTTTATTTTTATTCGTTTTCTTAATTTTATTTTATTTTTGTTTATTTTTTTATAAAATTTTTATTTTCTTGCTTCTTCTTCATATAGGCGCCTACTCAGCGCTTACAATATTTATTTCGTTGCACATTAATTTCCGTTTGCATACACCCTCGCTTTCGCTCGCACTCTCTCTTTGTTTGGTACGGCAAGTAAGTTGGTATGTAAATTGGCCACTGTTGCTGTTGCGGAAACCCAATTTCTGCTCCACTTTGGCATGC